AGAGAGAGAGAGAGAGAGAGAGAGAGAGAGAGAGAGAGAGAGAGAGAGAGAGAGAGACTGAGAAACCCTTCAAAACTTCAATGTATTAAATTTATATTTCTGCAAATCCTGAATAGCATTGGCTCGCAAGCATTGGAAGAGCAATCATTCAACACGAAGGTGGGATTGAGAGTCATACAAAAAAAAAAAAGAGTGCCATACACGCTCGAACGAGGATTCCAAATTGGCACTTGATCATCCAACCAAAAGCATGCGAGACAAGATTGGGTTATATGAGATTATATCATTACAAATTACAATGATGGTCCAGTAAAGTTGAGTACACTCAGTTATAATAAAATCTGGTCTCAACAAAATTGAAAAAATCGTTGACTAAATGTCTGAAGGCCATGGTCAGTCTAGGATTTGGTTTGGGCTTAATTATACCAAGGGGTAGAGGGGAACGGGGTGGCAGACAGAGACAGAAAGGTGATAGGGCACAGACCGGGTAGCGGGGCAATGCACACGAAAACCAAAGGCTAGAGGAGGAAGGGGTGGAAGACATGCAAAAACGGGGATTGAGCACAGACCGGGTAGCGGGGCGAGTTGGGGAGGCCAAAGCCGGGAAATGGCCCCGCAGTACCTAAAGTTGTTCTGTACAAATTTCATAGTGGACGCTGGGCACAGTTCCCAGCGCATGCTGCTCCTCAGGAATAAATAGGAGCCTTGTTCCCATCAAAAAAAAAAAAAAAAAAAAAAAAAAAAAAGGTGAGTTCGGGAGGGGAGACGTTGCGGCACCGAGCTCTTCAGATCACCGAGGACTGAATCCTCCGCTCCAACGCAGAAGGGAACGGAGGGGAAGGGGGCAACGCCCAGCCGAAAACACCCTTCTCGAGCCTCATTAGGACAAAGGGCGTTGGATTTCTTGATGACCTGCACCCTGACCAGATCGCCGGTAAGGGTGACAGAGGAGAGAAGGTCGAAGCAGAAGGGGGAGAGGAGAGGAAACAACGGTGGGTGTGTTGGAATACGTGTAAGTCGTGTTAATCTGCTGTCGAAAAACATGCGGCTGTGTACAATTACTCGCAAAAGAGTAAAGAATTATCTGTGAATAAAAAGAAGAGGTGCGACCTGGACAGACTTAGAGCACTCCAATCTGTACCTGGAACAAAGCCAGAAATATCAATGCCCAAAATCTGTACCTGGAACAGAACCAGGAACATCAATGCACAAAAAGGGCAGGAACATCGTTGCGATCCGTTTTAGACTCCAGTAAATTAGGTCACCATCGAATGGACTCTTGGTGGAAACACCAAAGTTGGTGTTTGCAACTCTTTTTGATTCAACTCAATCGAATGAGATTGAAATGGCGCCGCTGCTACTTCGTGACCTTGGAGGACATGTAAGAGTCATACCGAACATAATTGTCTCGGTATTTTTCTTACTGTGAAAACCAAGCCAATTTGATTCTCAGGGAAGTACTTATGCTTGATTATTTGTCGACCCCAGGTAGGGTGTCTATGAAAGACCCACGCACGAAGTTGTGGGTATGCAAAAAAACACCACGGTGCTTCAAATCTTTGACCTGCAAAGGCTTGGTGTTTAGTGGTATCGATCCAGGCCTGGTAGCGTCAAGGGCACCACAAGGGGAAGCCACGAGACACCGACAAATTATGTTGAAGACCCACTTTAGGGTGCAATTCGAACAAATTATGTTGTATGTTGTCGGAGGGCTTACTGTTAGGCATTTGCAAAACTTCAACTTCTTTCCATGCGCAGCACTCACACAAACAAAGTGAAGTGAAGTGAAGTGAAGTGAAGACCAATCTTGAAGAGGGCAGTGGCAATTGGAGAGAAGCTTGTTTTACAAGAAGCTCATATTGCTCAATCACACACCAGCACACTTGATGGAAACGAAAAAGGGGGAAACTACGCGGGAGTCACAAAAACGAGTTGTAATTCCAGTATGGGCCAAGATACAGTTTGCAATTGCAGTTGGGGCAATGTCTAGAACCCAGCTTTCTGGCCAGGTAGTGTGGCCGAAGTGCAATGGAAAACTGTATATTGGCCCATAGTGCAATTATAATTTATAAGTTTTTTTATAACTCGTTTCTGTGACTCCTGCGTAGGTACCCGCCCCCGAAAAAAAAAAAAAAAAGGGGATGTCCACTTGACAGCCAGGCTGCAGTGAGCAGTCTGCAACAAAAGGCACTCAAAACAGTGCAGTATAGAGCCAGAACACACTGGCTATGGCTGCACCCAAAACCTCTCCTTCAGCTGCCAACTGGCGCAGCTGCTCCTCCTCTTCACTCCACCAAATCACGAACTGAAAAATGAATGAACTGTCATCGTAGCTCGTCCTAGCTCGTTCAATTAGGAAATTCAACATGCAAAGGAAATCTTTGCAATTGCTGATCTTCAAAACCTGGACTAGTGGCATTCAGGAGGTCTTGGGTTCAATCCCCATTGGCCTCATGTACCTTCCTGGGCATGCTTGGCGGCCCCCACCTAGAGATAGCCCGTTGGTCCCCGCAATTGGCATTAAAAAAGCAGTCTCTGGTGATGCTCATAGGTGGAGGGGCAATTGGGGAGGCACAACGACTGGCCACTCAGATGATGCGCGGTCCCNCGGTCCCTCTGCTACCGGCTGTCCCCTGGCCGGTGTAGGTGGAGGGGCAATTGGGGAGGCACAACGACTGGCCACTCAGATGATGCGCGGTCCCTTTGCTACCGGCTGTCCCCTGGCCGGTGTCCCCGATTGGGGGTTCCCTGAAGGCAATATAAAGGCCACCCTGGGCTGAAAAGGCCACCCGATGTCAGATTATACACAAGATTGAATTTACCTGGGCTGGTTAGTTCAATGATAATACCTCAAGGCCATCGCCCTTAAAAAAAATAAAAAATCACACATGATAAACAGTGCCTTAAGCTGTTAAGGTGAAAAACACCCTTCTCTCTCTCTCTCTCTCTCTCTCTCTCTCTCTCTCTCTCTCTCTCTCTCTCTCTCTCTCTCTCTCTCTCTCTCTGAGAGAGGTCAGTGACTCTGGGTGACGTGGCGAGTCCTTACCCATCGGTCAAATGCATCCTTGGCAGACTGTCGAGGTTCAACCTCTCTTTCAGGCCTAGGTCACTATGCACTCCGACATTTCCGTGGACGGCAATGCGTTGCTGACGACGGAGGGGTTGGTTGGACTTGGTTGGACGGTTGGACGGTTGGACGGTTGGGGGTTGGCTGTTGACAGAGGGAGAAGAGGTGGGGAATCGGCCCGATGATTGACTGCCTGGTGGCAGTCAAAACTACCATCTTCCCCCGAACATAGTGCACCCTGATAATGAATGTATAGAAGGTCTGTTTCCGGTTCGGCGCAGCCATAATGAGCGTGTGTTGTGTTTGGAGGAAGACAGTAGTCAGGGTAGCCAACCCGAGTCTGCATGTAGTGTTCTTTAAACTTCTTTTGCATCACTCAAAATCTATTCGTGTGTGTTTTCACATATTCAAATGTTGTCATCATGCTGAGACAGTGAGACAATTGGCCTTTGCTCCAGTGCTCAACGCTCTACTTGCAGTTGGACGCTTTCTGGACGAGTCCAACATTTTTTAATGTGCCGGGTCCAGAAAGCATCCAAATGCATATAGATGTGCCAATCAAATGAGTCACTCTGATGCAATTTCTCTCATCAGCTCATATACCTCAACCTCCTGGCGCCAAGTCCCACTCGCAGTGTCGAGTTTCCTCAACGCCCGAATGTGGACGTGATTGTGGAAAGGGCGTTGAGTTTCCTCAACCGCATATCTCCACAAACACGTCCAGATTCGGACGTTGAGGAGACTCCAAGCTGCTAGTGGGACTTGGCTCCTGATGAGTCAGACTTTGTGGAGTTGCATATGGAGAACATGACAAGGCACACACACACCCAAAAAAAACAAAAAAGAGCATGGCAAGATACACACACAATAAAAAGAGAAAAAGAAAAGAAGAAGACAATAGTGTCAATAGGTCATTCATGTTGAGGGGTTGATTAAACCACCAGTTTACACGAACCTAAGTCGGCAAAGTTACGTTCCAAGGCTGATGAGTCTGCACATGCGCCCTTTTTTTTCTTTAAAAAAAAAAAGAAAAAAAAAGGGTCCATGTCATAGTAGAGGGTGGATGCCAGGCCTCGGGAGGTGTCTGTCAACGTACTCAACCACTGAGAGGATCAGAAGATGGCTTGTGCCGACCCCAGGGACAGTCAAATGCGCCTTTTCAAAGTGGCCTGCCGCTTGCGTTACCAGCTCAGGCCCGAATCCAAATAATTTAACTGAGCAAGTGACCTAGCTGCTCAGTTGTTTAGGCATGCAAGTGGTATTCCGGAGGTCGTGGGTGACCACCTGGGCATGCTTGGTGCCAACCAAGTGAGATAGTTGGCTTGCTCCCCCCCTGTTGGTATTGGTACGGCCTTAGGTCATCACATGTGTGTGTGTGAGAGAGGGGGGGGTGTTGTGTGTGTGTGGTGGCAAATGCTGGCCACAGACACTGCTGTTATCGATGGGGGTGGGGAAAGTAGATGGGAGGCGCAGCCACTGGCAAAATGCTTGGTCTTTGGGTTATCCCCCCCTCTCCACCAGTGGGACCCCGCTACTCCCTGACCATCACCGATTAGGGAAGGGGGCGACATGCATTCTGGACCCTTGATTGTACCTTGCAGGGTTCCCGTGTATAGGCTTAGGAGTAGTGGTAGGTAGGTAGTGAATGGTGAAATTGAGAGAAGAATATAGCTAAGTTAACGGCAGGGGTGTTTTGTTTTAAAAACAAAAAATATATATATATATATCCGACGAAACAGTTTGTCACAGCCCCTCGTTTGTTGTCCTCTTCTCTCTCTCT